GACATTACAAGTCAAGTATACACCAATATTCCTCAATTTTCCTTATGAGCATAGACAATAAAATCCATAACGAAATATTAAAAAATCAAATTTAATAATGTATTAAAGAGCTAACACATGTTGATCGAGTGGACATTATTTCAGAATAGTAAGGTTGATTTCAACTTTTGAAAACCAATGGATTAAAATTTACAAATCAAATGATCATCTCAAAAAATGCAGAAAAAGTAATCAACTTTTTCTTAAAGGATAAAACTTTTCGGCAAACTAGGAAGAAAATAAATTTCTTAAACAAGAGACGTCTATGAATAAGAGGCATCTATGAAAAAAACTACAACTAATGTTATACTTAAAGTTGAAAGACTGAATGAATGCTGTCCTTTAAGATTAAGAACAAAATCAGTATGTCAGGCCGGGTGCAGTAGCTCAATCCTGTAATCCTAGCATTTGGCAGGTCTAGTTGGGTGAATCACCTGAGGTCAGGAGTTTGAGACCAGCCTGGCCAACACGGTGAAACCTCATCTCTACTAAAAATACAAAAATTAGCTGGGTGTGGTGGCAGGTGCCTGTAATCCCAGCTACTCAGGACATTGAGGCACAAAAATCACTTCAACCCAGGAGGTGGAGGTTGCAGTGAGCCAAGATTGAGCTACGGCACTCCAGTCTGAGCGACAGAGTGAGACTCTGCCTGGGGGGAGTCTACTGTAATAGTTTATTTTATGTGTCAACTTGATTAGGTCACAGGGTGCCCTGATATTTGGTCAAACATTTTTCTGGGTGTTACTAATGAGATATTTGCTCAAACATTATTCTGGGTGATTTTGGATGTGACTGACATTTTAATCAGTAGCCCACCTCCCTAATGTGGGCTAGCCTCATTCAATTGGCTGAATACCTGAAGATAAACAAAGACTATCCTCTCCAAGTAACAGAGAATTCTTCTTACTTGACTGTCTTCTAGCTGGGACATTGGCTTTTTTTCCTGACTTGGGACTCTTAAATGAAACATCAGCTCTTCCTGGGTGTCAAGTCTACCAGGTTTCAGATACGAACTACACCACTGACATTCTTGGTTCTCAGGCTTTCAGATTCAGACTAGAATGCAACCACTGGCTCTCTTGGGTCTCCAGCTGCCCACCTCCATAATCACGTAAATCAATTTCTTATAACAAATCTTTTATAATTTTTCCTTATTTATAAGTGATATACAGATATAGATATACATATTATATCCTATTGCCTCTGTGTCTCTGGAGAACCCAGGGTAATCAATTTACTCTTATCACTTCTATTTAAAATTGTACTGGGAGTCTTAGCCAGTGCATAAAGGAAAGAAAAAAAATTCGAAAGAAAGATGTAAAGCAGCCACCTTTCTTCAGATTTCGCTTTAACATTCTACTGGAGCTCCTAACCTATGTAACAAGGTATATCTACAGGAAAATCATGTCATAATTACATTTAATGTACTCAAATTCAACTATATAATCCTGCTGGGCAGAAGAAAGACAAAGAGAACTATAGGCTGGGCGCAGTGGCTCGTGCCTGTAATCCCAGCACTTTGGGAGGCCAAGGCAGGTGAATTACAAGGTCAGGAGTTTGAGACTAGCCTGGCCAATATGGTAAAACCTTAGCTTTACTAAAAATACAAAACTCAGCCAGGTGTGATGGCACACGCCTGAAGACCCAGCTACTCGGAGGCTGAGGCAGAAGAATCATTTGAACCCGTGAGGCGGAGGCTGCAGCAAGCCAAGATAGTGCCAATGCACTCTGGCCTGAGCGACAAAATGAGGCTCTGTCGCAAAAAAAAAAAAAAAAAAAAAAAAAAGAAAGAAAGAAAGAAAAAATAACTACAGTGCTAGGTAGGGTGAAGTGAGGTACACACATTAAATACTACTGGCATTAAGGCCGCTAATCCTCTCTATGAACATAGCAACTGCAAACAATAGAATCAATCAAGCTTGATAGCTGACAGAAGTGGCAAACATATGGACATAAAATGTCAATGACTTTATTAGGTTTCTGACAACTGACAAAGAAATAATGCATAATGCTTGAGAAAAATAAAGCATGAATGAAGGCTTCTTGGACATTCTTTAGGAAGAAATTAAATAAAGGGCTGCAGAGAAATACCAACCATAAAAAAATTAAAGAACTGATAAATTATCTATGGAAGACAAATATGATAAGCTGGCAAATTAGAAGAACAAATAGATATTCCCATATGTTACTAGATTCTATATCTATACATACAAGTTACTAAATAAAACCATATATATATATATATATATATATATATATATATATATATAAAATATTCCAGAAAACTTGAGGGTAGATTTGACTCCATGTGATTTTTGCCTTTAAAAATGAAATCCTGGCCGGGCGCAGTGGCTCACACCTATAATCCCAGCACTTTGGGAGGCCGAGGCGGGTGGATCACGAAGTCAATAGATAGAGACCATCCTGGTCAACAAGGTGAAACACCGTCTCTACTAAAAATACAAAAATTAGCTGGGCATGGTGGTGCGCACCTGTAGTCCCAGCTACTCAGGAGGCTGAGGCAGGAGAACTGCTTGAATCCAGAGGTGGAGGTTGTGGTGAGCCGAGATCGTGCCATTGCACTCCAGTCTGGGTAACAAAAGCGAAATTCCATCTCAAAAAAAAAAAAAGAAGAAGAAATCCTGGTCTGGCATGGTGGCTTGTGCCTACATCCCAGTGCTTTGAAAGGCCAAAGCAAGAGACTTCCTTGAGGCCAAGAGTTCAAGACAAGCCCTGGCAACACAGCAAGATCTCATCGCTATAAAACTAGAAATAAAAATAAAAATTTGCCATAAGTGATGGTGTGTACCTGTAGTCCTAGCTACTTGGGAGGCTGAGGTAGGAGGATCACTTGAGACCAGGACTGAGCTATGATCATGCCACTGCACTACTGAGGGTGACATAGAAATACACTGTCTCTAAATAAATTTTGTTAAAAAAAAAAAACCTGAAGGAAGTCTATTTACTAATCCAGAGGACTGTCCAATATGTATTATAAAGTGAATAAATCAAGTTATAGAACAATGTATATAGTATTATCCCTTTTGTCAACAAACCAATTGACAAATCACAGAAATAAACACAACCAAAACCTCTTTAATTCCCATATCATAGGGGAGTTTATATATTTAAACATTCACAAAGCTTGTTAACTTTGAATCCCTTATGATGGTAAGGAGACACCAGTACACCTTTTTTCTTAATCATGTTTGCACTTTTTCTTTTCCTTTCTTTTTTTTCGGGGCGGGGGGGAGGGAACACTAGGTATCGCTCTGTCACGGGGGTGGAATGCAATGGCACAATCTCAGTTCAGGGCAGCCTCGACTTCCCAGGCTTCAGCGATTCTCCCACCTCAGCCTTTCTCATAGCTGGGACTACAGGTATATGCCAACACATCCAGCTAAGTTTTGTATTTTTTTGTAGAGTTGGGGTTTTCCTATGTTGCCTAGGCTGGTCTCAAACTCCTGGACTCAAGTGATCTGCCCACCTCCCAAAGTGCTAGGATTACAAGTGTGAGCCACCACACCCAGCCTGTTTGCATTTTTTCATTTTTTGCACAAATTAGTCATGTTATAATTTTGCAATTGAAAAACTTAAATTAAAAACAGGATTATCACTAAAATAGAAAATAGAAGTTAATCGGCCATAAATACACTCATTAAAAAGAAAAATCTAGTTGAAAATATAAAAGCAAAGCCTTTATTTTAATGATAGGTACTCAAAGAATCTTCTTCTAAAACTGTATATATTTAAGGTATACAACATGATGTTTTAATATAGAGTGAAGTGCTTAATACACAGTCAAGTAAATTAACACATCCATTACCAGACATAGTTACCTTTCTTTTTTGAAGAGTACCTAAAATCTACTCTCCTGGCAAATTTCCTGCATACATTATTAACTGTTATATATTAGAGCTCTAGAATTACTCAATCAAGATAACTCTATCTTTGTACCTTTGAATTACTTCTCTCAACTTTCTTCTCAGCCTCACCCGCTTGTCTAACAACCAAAGGTAGTAACCACCCTTCTATTCTCCCCCAAAATCTTTAATGCCCATGTACAAAAGCAAGTCATTGGTACTTTTTGACAAGAGGCTCCTGAATATATCTTCACTGCCACAAACATTTCAAACAAATCAAATCTCTTTCTTGGATCACAAAAATTATTCACTTAATTTCCTACCCAGCAAAATAGGAAAAATAAATGCTTTACTGTGTGGGATTGAGCAATAAATCCCACGTGTTAACAACTTGTGGTCTATAACGTAGCAATCTATTTTCTTCCAGGAAATGGTATTAGATGTTTTCTGTGCTCGGCAAGTTTAAAATGGGAGAAAAAAAAAAGACTGAAGGAGGGGTTCAATGCAGCTCTAGGCAAGGCTGAGAGAGGAGAGTAAGCTTGCATAAAAAAGTGATTTATAGTTGTGGCTTAAATATCACTTGCTGAAATATAATTAACATATCCATCATCACACACAGTTACCTTTGTTTTTTTCAGTGAGGAGTGGTAAGAGTACCTAAAATCTACATTTCTAGCAAATTTACTGTACACAATATTATTAACTATAGTCTTCATGTTGTACAGTAAACCTCTAGAATTATTCAACCAAGATAACTCTATCCTTGTGCCTTTGAATTATTTCTCTCAACTTTCTTCAGTCTCACCCATCTATATTACATATTTCTTCTATATAACATACAGAAGAAATATGTAACATATACTGGAAAAATAATGTCAATCTTTCCAGTGGATCTCTAACAATTCAAAAGTCGTTGAACTTTTAAACAAAATTTTAATTAAAATTATCAATAGTCTTAATAATAAATTACCATATTCTGTATCATGTAATTGATCAATATGGGTAAAACTCAATCTCCAATGTGACATTACTGAGCATATCAGCGAGTCATTCAAACACTGGAGCAGATAGCAAATCCAAATCTTAGTGGGTACTCACTTTTACAGTTTCCTCTGTGTTAAGTTTATTTCCCTTAACCAAGATAATTTGGAAAGGGTTGTTATTTTCCCAAACATGCTGTAAAAGAATAAAATAAATACAAATTATTTTAATGAAACAAATGAATATTCTATGCTAGCAATGAAACTGTCATTAGTTCTAATGTCTATTGGCAAAATCATGAAAATAGAACTCTGAAGTAACAACTGAAAGTCATATACACTAAATTAAACATTATAACTCCTAACACTTGGCTTTCATGGCAAAACATACGCAGCATTCCACTAATGCTAAGAGATATCACTAAATTAAAAGCATTAGCAAATAGTAATAAAAGCTTTGTATAAATTAAGTTTAACATTTATATTAATATAGAAAAAACATCAGTAAGGAGCAGTTAAATATACCATTTGTGATGACTGAATAACTGACTAAAAAGTGTTAACTTTTTAGTTAACAAGCTTAAGATTTGCTTTATACGAATATATTACATTCTCAAAAAAAAAAAAATAGTGCCCTTCACATATGTTTAATACTAAAAGAATTCAGTATTAAGAAAGCAGGTACATTATACCAAAAACACTATCATGGTTAGGCTGATAGAAATGAAATATACTGGTTAATTCAATTATTTCTGTACATCTAACTTTTCTACTAGAATGTCTCCAATTACTCACTGAAGTCCTGTATTTAAATCAAAATCTATAATTTGATGGCATTTTTCTTTAGCAGAAAAGAAACACCAAAAATATAAATGGCATATTTACATTTAATTGCAGCTTGAGTAAAAATAATAGTATCTAGAAAGATAATTTTTAAATAAACGATAGATTTTTGGCAAATATGCATTGGTTTCACAGAAGGAGAAGTGAGCAAAGGAAATACGTGTGAAACTTACGTAAACTAACACAATCACATGCCTTTTGGGATTACTAAAGATTCAGAAATAAAACTTACAGAAATAATTCGTGTTTTCTTTGGTGGTAATGGAAGAGGAAGATTAGATGAATTTCTATTTATGGCAGCCTCTATGGCAATCATTTCCTGTTCATACATTTTCTTGATCTTGCAGCATTCCACAAGTATAAAATGGGGCAGGGTCCTGTTCATTACACAGTTCCGGATATACTATAGGGGCAAGAAAAAGGAAGGTATTGATTTTAAAGCCAACACCTAAATCAACAGAATAAAATTAAGCTGAACACGATATCAAATGTACTGTGAAAGTATGTCTTAAACCATAGCTAAGTAACAAGAATGTAATTTGTTTTTTTTTTGAGACAGGGTCTCACTCTATTGCCCAGGCTGAAGTGCAGTGACACAACCACAACTGACTGCAACCTCGACCTCCTGGGCTCAAGTGATCCTCCTACCGCACCCTCTGGAGTACCTGGGACTACAGGCCTGCTCCTAGACCCTGTATGTACTAAATCACAAAAATTAAGGGCCATCCCAGAAATGTGAAAAGATGTGTAATATCACATTACCTACTAATAAATTACAGCTCCATGTTCTCAAACACACATCCCTTTATATTTGGCATGCCTATATCCCTCTTGTTTAAATAACAACAATAATATCACAAAACAACAAGATTTTCCTAAAATTCTGTAACTACTAGCCTCTAACTGGGCACTTATAATAATATTCCTTACATAATGACTATTTTTTAGTCTTCAAGATATTTCAACAAAAACATCTTCATGTTATTTGAAGGCAAAGCCAAGGACCTCATCTTTAAACAGTATACCTTATAGAGGGATGGGTGCTGCACTGCACCATAGTATATTTAAACTATGCCCTACTCCAAAAATAATCTGGGGCAATTCAGTACTGTACAGAACTATTCTCAAATAATTCTTAATTAAATAAAAATAAATATCCAAATGATTAAGAAAGGCTTTTGAGAATGGTCAAACCTAATGCTTACAAAATTCTTGCCATACATGGAAGTAACAAAAAAAGGGAAAGGGAAATTCCATGCACAAATATTTCAGACTAAAATGGAAAAGTTTTCCATTACTTAGCTAATGAATAATCACAAATAAGTTTTTATACAATTCAATGGATGACCATTTAATCAATTTTTAAACTGATTAACAAATCCCAGAATATTTCACATTTATACCATATAACAAAATAGTAAGCAGCTATTAAGAAACAGTGTAAAAAATTCACAATGATATAAGACAATAATTATAAAACTAACTAAAACAATCAAAACAGGTGAACGCGCTGGGCACAGTGGCTCATGCCACATGTAATCTCACACTAGGAAAGTCCAAGGTGGGCGGATCACTTAAAGTCAGGAGTTGGAGACCAGCCTGGCCAAAATGGTGAAACCCCTGTCTCCATTAAAAATACAAAAAGCAGCTGGGCATCATGGCACACACCTGTAATCCCAGCCACTCAGTGGCTGAGTCACAAGAATCGCTTGAACCTGGGAAATACAGGTCTCAGTGAGCCAAAACTGTGTGTCACTGCACTCCAGCCTAGGCGACAGAGCAACACTGTGTCTCAAAAAAGAAAAAAAAAGGCAGAATACAAACATGTACATACACACATTTGTGCATACAATCATTATGCTAAAATACATATGTACCTGCAAAGAAAAGTGACGAAAACATGCCAAAAATGTTAACAATGATTATCTCAGAGGTAAGTATTATTATGAATATTTACTATTCAAAACTGTGTAATTTTCTTTATATTCCAAATGTTCCACTATGGGTACACATTTTTAAAATCAGAAATAAAAAAATATATATACACTCATGAACTTCTCCGGTAAATTCTTAGATAATATACATACCTGGAACTGAATTAGTGGATGATCACCAAAAACATATTCTACTCTCCCGCTGACTTGCAGCACATAATCATAGGGGCTAATTTCATCTTCCTTCCCATGAATAGTCAAACGTTTTTGGATTGCCAATTCATTTATTTTTATAGGATTCATATTAGGAGATACTTGAAAGCTAAACACATCCTAAAGAAGGAGGGAGGTGGAGAAAAAAGTAAATGTTATATTCATGCTGAAAAATCACTATTATAAACATTATGTAATAGTATGCACAAATGTACATAATATTTCTATAGGTACATCCTTAACAAATTTTATATGGACATATATTTAGAATGTAGACACGTTTACTGAAATATAATGATTTCTGATCATTTGCAAGTCATCTTACTGTATTCATAGTGCACAGTTTCCACAGGTAAGATTAATATTTAACTAAAGGTTAGCATCAGGCATTTTCCAATGAACATCCTTCTTTAAAAAAAAAAAAAAAAAATCACACAAAAATCATATGTCTTTATCACTAAAGACATAAGGCCAGATTCAAACTTTAAAACCTAAACTTACTAAGTATTTCACATCTATTTTTTCCACTATTCTACTTGCTCATCTGTGTTTTTTATGAGTTGATGCCTGCTATAGACTGAATGTTTCTGTCTCCCCCTACAAATCAATATACAGAAAACTAATCTCTAATGTGATGATATTTGGAAGTAAAAACTTTGAGATGTGAAAGGGTCATGTGATGATATTTGGAAGCGAAAACTTTGAGATGTGACTGGGTCATGAGGGCAGGGCCCTCATGAATGAGATTAGTGCCCTTTTTTTAGAGACCCCCAGGCCGGGTGTGGTGGCTCACGCCTGTAATCCCAGCACTTTGGGAGGCTAATGCAGGTGGATCACTTGGGATTGGGAGTTCAAGACCAGCCTGACCAACATGGAGAAACCCCATCTCTACTAAAAATACAAAATTAGCCAGGTGTGGTGGCACAGGCTGTGGTGAGCTGAGATCATGCCATTACACTCCAGCCTGGGCAAGAAGAGCAAGACTTGTCTCAAAAAAAGAGAGAGAGAGAGACCCAAGAGAGCTTCCCCTCCTCTTCTGCCATGTAAGGACATGGCAAGAAGACAGTTACATATCCACCAGAAAGCAATCCCTTATAAGACAAGGAATGAACTGGTGCCTTGATCTTGCACTTCCCACCTTCCAGAATTGTGAGAAACAGGCCAGGCGCAGTGGCTCACATCTGTAATTCCAGCACCTTGGGAGGCTAAGGCAGGTGGATCACTTGAGCTCAGGAGTTCAAGACTAGCCTGATGAACATGGTGAAATCCTGCCTCTACTAAAAATATAAAAAATTAGCTGGGCATGGTGGCCTCCTACCTATAGTCCCAGCAACTCAGGAGGCTGAAGCTGGGGAATCCATTGAACCTGAAAAGAGGTGGTTTCAGTGAGCCTAGATCACGCCACTGCACTGAAGCATGGACGACAAAGCAAGACTCTGTCTCAGAACAAAACAAAACGAAAAAAAAACCTAGAATTGTGAGAAATAAATTTATGTTGTTCACAAGCCACCCAGTCTATGGTATTCTGTTACAGCAGCGCAGCCCAAACAGACTAAGATGGCACCATACACATCAAAGAACTCAGGCTAGGATGCTGGGAATCATTTTCAGAAGTCTCCTCTCTCCTCCCTGACCTCACCTCCCAACAAGACACCAATGATCTTTTATCCTAATGGTTTTCCTGTATTTCAGGCAGTTATTCAACATCACTTTCAATGACTTCATGAAATATTATAGGGTATCACTCTATTGCCCAGGCTGAAGTGCAGTGGCGCAAGCTTGGCTCACTGCAACCTCTGTCTTCTGGGATCAAGCAATCCTCCCACCTCAGCCTCCTGAGTCCTGGGTAGCTGGGACTACAGACGTGCAACACCATGCCCAGCTAATTTTTGTACAGATGAGGTTTCCTCATGTTGTCTAACTTGGTCTCGAACTATTGGGTTCAAGAGATCCTCCCTGTTCAGACTCCTAGAGTACTGGAATTATAGGTGTGTGCCACCTCACCTGGCCAAGACAGTGTTCTTAAGTTAAATTCTCATCACCTTTCAATACTAAACTCCCCTAGTCTACCTCTCATGACCATGCAGAAATCCTTAAACAGTATTGTAAATTTGACCCTGACATTTTAATGATACTCAAATCCTGACTTAAATTGAACTTTAAATTCAACATATCTCAGGATATAATGACAAATGGTGTTTTTCCCTAGATAAACTTTCCTGTCTAGAGAAAATTCCTGAAGGTAGAATCTTATTTTCACATCTGTCTTAACAAATACTTATTTTTTTGAGACGGAGTTTCGCTCTTATTACCCAGGTTGGAGTGCAATGGTGCAACCTCGGCTCACGGCAACCTCCGCCTCCTGGGTTCAGGCAATTCTCCTGCCTCAGCCTCCTGAGTAGCTGGGATTACAGGCACGCGCTACCACGCCCAGATAATTTTTTGTATTTTTGTAGAGATGGGGTTTCACCATGTTGACCAGGATGGTCTCGATCTCTTAACCTCGTGATCCACCCACTTTGGCCTCCCAAAGTGCTGGGATTACAGGCTTGAGCCATAGCGCCCGGCCCAAAAAATACTTATTAACATGTTGTCTAAAATGAGGCAAAATTGGGTAAAACCAGAGACACCTGGATGAAATCCTGGCTTTACCACTGACCAGCTATGAGGATGGCACAAAACACTAAACTTCTCTTCCTTTCAGTTTCTTCACCATAAAATGGGGTAAAGACAACAACACTCTGTAGGGTTGTTGCGGGAACTGGAGAGTATATGAAAAATATACTGTACCAGAAATTATGCAGGATTAAGCCCTCAACACCGACTAATGACTGTTAAGTCGTTGAGCACTTACCCTGCATAACTGGTTGTTGTCATTACTCTGGTTATCACAGTAATTCAAGAACAAAAGAAAACATCCAGCCAGGCATGGTGGCTCATCCCTGTAATCCCAGCACTTTGAGAGGCTGAGATGGGTAGAACATCTGAGGTCAGGAGTTCGAGACCAGCCTGGCTGACATGGCGAAACACTGTCTCTACTAAAAATACAAAAATTAGCCGGGTGTGGTGTTGTGTACCTGGAATCCCAGCTACTCAGGAGGCTCAGGCAGAACTGTTTGAGCCTGGGGGGCAGAGGTTGCAGTGAGCCGAGATCAAGCCATTGCACTCCACCCTGGGCAAGAGTGAGACTCTGTCTTAAAAAAAAAAAAAAAAAAATCCCTTGCGTTTCTACCTTAATCTAATGGCAGATCCTAGATGCTAGAATGACTGTATTTGCTACAACAGCAGCAGCATCATCTCATTTGTATAAGTGTTATGAACATTCAGAAATGGATGGGCTGTATATGGACTCTATTATAATGCCTACTTCCATATCATTAATTCACAGAAAGCAAATTTAAGAATATAGAAACAAAGAGACCATTTTGATTACGCCTTTCATTTCTAGAGATGGGGGGGAAAAAATCACATGAGAAGAAAATATTTGCAATAAGGAACACTATCTAGACCAGCAGTTGGCAAACTTGTTCTATTAAAGGACCAGGTTTGGCAAACAACATACATCATAGTGGTCTCTGTTATAATCCTTTTTATTCTTCTTTTAAACATTCCTTTACAAGTCTTTGAGGTATTTTTCTTTTTTAAACGTCCCTTTAAAACTGTAAAAAACCAATTAACTGTCCAGTTTACCAATCCCATTCTAAATCACCATTCCACTGCATCAAAAAAAAAAAAAAAAGGTGCAAAGAGTATCACTTTAGACTATTACACATAATCCTAAATATAGTTCCATCTTAAATCTAAAGTTGTTCTTTATAACAACAGTGTTTGCTAGGTAAGTGAGAGACACTTCTAAAACTGAAGCTGCATTCAGGTAAAAATGAGAAATTTATTACAAAATATTTCTTAAAAAAATGTAATCCTGGCCGGGCACGGTGGCTCATGCCTGTAATCCCAGCACTTTGGGAGGCCGAGGCGGGCGGATCACCAGGTCAAGAGATCGAGACCATCCTGGTCAACATGGTGAAACCCCGTCTCTACTAAAAAAAAAAATACAAAAAATTAGCTGGGCACAGTGGCGTGTGCCTGTAATCCCAGCTACTCAGGAGGCTGAGGCAAGAGAATTGCCTAAACCCAGGAGGCGGAGATTGCAGTGAGCTGAGTTAGCACCATTGCACTCCAGCCTGGGTAACAAGAGCGAAACTCCGTCTCAAAAAAAAAATATATATATATATATAATCCTTACCAAGTAAAACACTTGCGGTAGCGATTAAAAAAAAAGAAGAAAAAAAAATTTAATCCTACCTGGGAGTTTTCAAAATGAACAGCTACAATGAGCTTTCCTCCATAAAGTTTATCTTCTAAGTTTTCAGGGATGGATGGTTCATGCTCTGGTGGATATGTTTGTTTTAGCCAGTCCATCCAAGACAATCCCACAAGTGACAGGATCTTCTCCTCACTGAATTTGCGCATTTTTCTTCGAAATTCATTTACTTCAGGATCCTTCAAGCCATCAAATTCATGGAGACCTAAAAACAATTTTTAAAGGTATCATTTTCAGTAGCTAACAATAATAAAAAAGAATACAAATTATATTCAACAAAAACTAACTTGTATCTTGGGTGCTTGGCTTTTATCAAGCAGATGAAACTAGGGAGGCCATGAAAGATCAAAAAAGCCAGATAAAACAATAAATCTCATGTACAGAAGACAAACATACAATTTTATTTTTAAAAAATACAACTCAAAACCTCACAAAGAAATGTAGTTTGCTTATCAATTTTACAAAGTAATTCACAATACATATTTTAAAGCCACACAAAAGATTCATAGTTTTTATTTATAAGCCAAGAATTAACAAATCACATGTAAAATATCTAAGACTAAGAATCTGAAAAACAGTTTCAATACTGTTGAAATTGTTAAAAGAATATTAAAAGAAAACTAAGAATCAAGTTATTATTTAACCTAAAACTTGGTATACTATGGGAATGGCTATGATATGTAGGAGCAGAGAGCATATGGAAAATTTCCGTATCTTCCTCTCAATTTTGCTGTGAACCTAAAACTGTTCTAAAAGATAAAACCTTTAAAACACCAAAAACAAACCAAAGAAAACTTAGTACATTTAAATGTTACAGATTGAATTTTCAGTTCATTGTGATTTTTAAATGGTTATCATATGTTGTATTACTTAGTCAAAAACCCCATAAACGTAAAATTGTTCTTTATTGTTTGGTTGACTGTGAAACAACAGGGCAGTTGGGGCACCAACCCCCAACAGAGGAGGAAATTAACATATTTTTTCATCCATTCATTCATTCATTCACTTATTGAGAGAGACTCTCGTTTTGTTACCCAGGCTGGAGTGCAGTGGTGCAATCACAGCTCACTGTAGTCTCTATCTCCTGGGCTCAAACAATCCTCCCACCTCAACCTCCCAAGTAGCTGAAATTAGAGGCACAGACACAGGCACATGTCACTATGTCTGGATGATTTTTTAAATTTTCAGTAGACATGAGGTCTTGCTATATATTGTCCAACCTGTCTTGAACTCCTGGACTCAAGCAATCTTCCCACCTCAGCCACTCAAGATGTTGGGAGTACAGGTGTGAGTCACCATGCCCGGCCCACATACAACTTTAGACTCCTCAACAACTTAACCAGTAATAGCATACTAATGACCAGAAGCCTTACCAACAACATAAAGTCAGTTAACACTTAATTTTGTATGTTATCTAAGTTATATACCATATTCCTAAAGTAAGCTAAAGAAAATGTTAATTACTCCAGCTCTCTTCTGATTAGAAAAAAAGAAAATGTTATTAAGTAAATCAAAAGAAGAGAAAATATATTTATTTACTACTTATTAAGTGGAAGTGGATCATCATAAAAGTCTTCATACTCATCATCTTCATATTGAGTAGTCTGAGGAGGAAGAGGAGAGGTTGGTCTTCCTGTCTCAGGGGTGGCAGAAGCAGAGGAGTGAAGGAGGTAGAAGGGGAGGCAGGAGAGGCAGGCATACTGTATCTAACCTTATAGATACACATCATAATTTCTGACTTCTTCGCTTTTTCATTTCTGCATGAATGTTTATCTACATAATACCAATCCTACCACTGTTTGCTTTAGTTTCAGTGCTGGTATCATAGAAGGGCCCATGTTATAAAAGAAGTCAAAAGCATTCTTGAATAATCAGAAGCCTTCTGCCAAACTGTTACATGTGAATTTGTTTTCTAGCATGGCTTCTTCTACATCTTCTTCTTATAATCTGGCACTGGTTCAGAAGCACTCATCTCCATGAAGTTGTCTTCTGTTAATTCCTCTCATGTGGTGTTTATTAGCTCTTAGATTTCTCCAATATCTCTATCTTGAAACTCTTCACCATTATGACTGCCTTTTATGCCATATCCACAATCTATTTCATAATTTCCTTGATTGATTGGTTCTGTTGTAAATCCTGTAAGTCATGTACAGTATCAGGACAGAGTTTTCTCCAGCAGGAATTTACTGTTTTGGGTTTGACAGCTTTCACAATTTTTTTCTGTATCAACGACGGCATCTTCTGTGGTGTAACACCTCTAGACTTTCGTGATGTTCTATCCAGGTTCTCTTCCATAGAGTACCCTGAGTAATGAGCTTTAAAGGTCCTTATGACCTCCTAATAGGCTAAATTAGAGACGTTGTGTTTAGGGGTAAGTAGACCACTTTGATGCTTTCATTGCTGAACTCCAGGGGTTCTCGGTGGCCATAGGCATCATCCAATATTGAAAGAACCTTAAAAGGCAGTCTACTAGGCCAGGCATGGCGGCTCACTCCTGTAATCCTCCTGTCATCCTAGCACTTTGGGAGGCCAAAGCGGAGGGATCACTTGAAGGCAGGAGTTCAAGACCAGCCTGGCCAACATAGGGAAACCATATCTCCATTAAAAACACAAAAATTAGCTGTACATGGTGGTATGTCCCTGTAATCCCAACTACTTGGGAGGCTAAGGCAGAAGAATCACTTGAACCCAGGAGGCGGAGGTTGCAGTGAGCCAAGATTGCACCACTGCACTCCAGCCTGGGTGATAAAGTGAGACTCTATCTCAAAAAAAAAAAAAAAGGCAGTCCCTTACTGGCAAAGTACTTCCTGACTTCAGAACAGAACACTGATAGAACCAATCCAGAAAAAGGGTTCTCACTGTCCAGGTCTTTTTGTTGTACAAACAAAAGACTGGCAGCTGGTGTTTCTTTTTCCCTTCGAGGTTTGGGGGTTAGCAGCTTTATAAGTAAGGTGTATCACAGAACAGTCTGCATTTGCACAAAACAGTAGTTAGCCTTCCTGCCTTAAATTCGGGTGCTGACTTCTCTTCTTCACTAATAAACGACCTTAGTGGTTTTCTTTTTTCACCAGAATTAGGAACTTTCATCTGCATTAAAAACTTGTTCAGGTCCAGACAAGACCGCTCACACCTATAATCCCAACATTTTGGGAGGCCGAAGTGGGAGGACTGCTTGAGGTCAGGGGTTCGAGACCAGCCTGGGCAACATAGTGAATCCTCATCTCTACAAAAAATTAAAAATTAGCTCAGCATGGTGGTGCACGCCTGTAGTCCCAGCTACTCAGAAGGCTGTAGTGGGAGGACCACTTGAACTCAGGAGGGCAAGGATACAGCCTGGGCAACAGAGTGAGATTCTGTCGCAAAAACAAAACACCAAAAATCTGTTCAGGCAGGTATCTTTTTCTTAATGGCATCTGGGAACTCATCTGCTGTTTCTAGGTCAGAAGAAATCACTTATCCTGTTATCTTGACATTGTTATGCCAAATCTCTTTCTAAAATTGTCAAACCATCCTTTGCTAGCATTAAATTATCCTGCATTAGATCTTTCACTTTCTTATTGCTTTGTCATAATAACTTTGCCTTTTCTTGAATCAGATTAGTCTATAGGTATGCCTTTCTTATAGCAATTGTGCACCCACATACAAGCTGCATTCTTAATACGAGATTAAAAAAGTGTTTCACAAAAAGTGCAAGGTTTTGCACCTGCTGACATAGCTGCAGTGACAGCTTCATGAATTTGTTGGTTTTTTTTTTAAATGGTACTTACACTGGATTATTTATCTCAAAATGGCAGGCAACCACAGCTGCAGACCTCCATCTACAGTACATATCAAGCTATTCAGCATTTTTCTTTTTAGATATTTGCAGGCAAGATCATAGCACACTAGTACCTAGAACTCCTGTGCTTAAGCAATCCTCTTGCCTCAGCTTCTGCACCCAGCTGAATTCAACTTTTTCTTATAATGTCATGACTTTTCTCTGTTCTTAGAAGTACTTCTAGGATCAAAAGTGGCATTTTGTATGGGTCCCACAGTGTTATTCAAGGTTTGCAGTATTGCAGCAAACACAATTTTAAAAATACTTGAGAACTGAAAGAGATCCCTTTTTATTGTAATATGCAATTTACTAGATAGAGGATCTGCTCAAGTGGAGATGATTAGAGTCACATGGCATTTGTGAGCATATACTGACAACACTTAAGCTCACCACAATAGCAACAGGAGGTGGCTGCAAAATTATTACTATAGTACAGCATGTACTATAGTTAATTTTATACAGTTATGATTTAATACTGTATCTTTACAGTTGTTTGCATGTCTCTCAACTGCAAATGGCACCATGTACGGTTGTCTAAATGTGTATGTAAGTTTTGAAATTTTAACTTTTTATAATAGATTTACGGGTATCTTATGGTAGCAAATGATAAACTAGTATCTACATACTTATGCATTAATGACACACTTAATTTTTCCTTAATTTTTTCACTATTTCTAGGCTGTGATTTGTCTGCAAGTTTTGTCAAACTGTCACAAATCTCAAAAAAGTTCCAATATATTTATTGAAAAAAATCCATGTATAAGTGGCCCTGCACAGTTCAAACCCATTGCTGAAAGATGGATTGTACTTAATTTTTAGTCACTTCTGCCAATAAGACAATTATATATGACAACTTTTTCAAAAACTTATGATTATTCCAGAAAATAATTTTAGAAATCTCAAAGAATGAATCAACATACTTAAATGTTAATGTGTGCATTAATTTTTACCTATCAGGTTGGCACATATTTCAAAATTTGGTAATACCCTGTGCTGGAAGGCATAGAGAGAAAAAGGCATTCTAGTATACTTTGGGTGAGAAACCAAATTGATATGAACATTTTGGAAGGCAATTTTGCAATATTTATTAGAAATCATTCACACACACACACACACCCCTTTGACCTAACAATTTTATCAATCATAATCTTAACCTGAGAGATTCAGGACCAACCAAGAAAGCCCAGTATACCACCCTAACACCAATCATATAAGATGCCTTGCTTCTAGTTAGCCCACCTCCAGTTCCCCACTGCCAACAATTTCCCATCAGGCATCTCTGAAACCTTCCCTTTTTTTCCCTGTAAAGCTTTCCCACTCCCCTGCCTGCGAGTCTCTGCCAAACTTAAGTTCTTTTACTATAGCAACCTCTGCATAAATAGTCTCTGTTCTCATCTGAGTGGTCTTTGTTTATTTCTACAAATCCATGGATATACTATCAATATAAAAATACTTGCTGCGGTTTTGTTTATAATAATTAAAATGTAATCTAAAGACCATCATTCAGAACTGGTTAAAGATATATCTATATATCATTATACAGTGGTGCAGGTGATAAAAAGAATACCAACAATCTTTGTGTTTTTAAGGGCCCCGGATACCTTTTAAAAGTAGGTAGAGAATTGGTCAGGTAAAAATTCCTTTTCTGCAAAGTCAAAAAAAGGAATATAGAATATGTATAAGCTTTTATTTTGGATACTTGGGATGACTCTATTTCTACAGTGTTATTTTGTAGTATTGGGGAGGAATGCACAGTGAGGCAAGTTACTTTTTATTCCATAAAGTTAATGTATACTGTACTGTTTGAACATATGCATATCAGTAAGGGTTGTGTTTTCTTTTTATTTTTATGCACTGAAAACAATAGTTTTTATTTCAAAAACATATCCTAGAAGCAACCTGTGGTATAAAATATAGAAAAATAAAAATGTTTAAGTTTTATAACACAGCAAAGGTAAAATCTTAAGAGTACAAAATAATTTCCTACTTTTAAATCTAGAATAAAATACATTACTCTAAATTAGCTACAAATGAACTGTAATTTGGGTGGACTGGCTGAAGCATTTTAGCATACTGTTAATATTCATTCTATTCATAGGCAATAGGTATTACAGGTAAGGAAAGAGAAATAAGTACCCACTAACATCTAACAAAAATCAAATGCTTTATTTCTCTTAATCTACTACAAATCATGTTTAACCCACCTTCTAAATGTCTTTCAACTCTGTCCACTTCTCTCAGTTCCTGTAGCCATTAACCTAATCCTGGCCATCATCACCCTTCCTTTGGGTTACATCGTTTTTCACTAATTTCTCCACTCAAATCCTTAATCCCTCCAATCCACTCATTCTACAACCTGTATAATCTTCCTAAAATGCAAATGTATCACAATACTTCCCTACTTAAATTTATTCAATAGCTTCCCAAGTGTTCTTAGTAGTAAATTTCTACTTTTTACATGGCCTGGATGGTACTGTATGATCTAAGATTGCTGCCTCTCTAGTCTTCCCTAGATGGCCTATCTGTCCCCCTACACCAGCCATAATCAATTTCTTTTCCTTGAATAGGTCACTCTTCACACATGCCATTTCTTTTTATTTTTTCCTTTCTTCACCTGTCAAAGTCCTTATCAACACTGATGGCTCAGTTTAGGTGTACACCTTCTAAGAGGTCATCTCTGATTCACCTAATTGATAAAAGGTGACTTTCCTTTTCAAAAGTTTTGTTTTCTCATTAATTGGCAAATAATAAATGCATATATTTATGAGGTACAATGTGACAGAGTTTTTTGTTTTTTTTGTTTGAGACAGGGTCTCATTCTGTCATCCAGGCTGGAATGCAGTGGCACGATTATGTTTCACTGGGGTCTCAACCTCCTGGGCTGAAGCCAAGTGATCCTCCCATCTCAGCCTCTCAAGTAGCTGGGACTTCAGGCACACACCACCACATGTGGTATATTTTTTTGTAGAGATGGGTTTTGCTGCTATGTTGCCCAGGCTGGTCTCCAACTCCTGGTCTCAAGTGATCCACCTGCCTTGTTCTCCCAAAGTACTGGGATTATAGGCATGAGCCCCCATGTTCAGCCAATGTGATGTTTTGATACATGTATACATGGTGGAATGATTGAATCTGGCCAATTAGCATATATATATCACCTCAAATATTTATAATTTTTTTGTGAAGAGAACATTAAAAAATTCTCTTTTAGATATTTTGAAATATACATTATTATTAACTATAGTCACTGTGTTAAGCAATAGAATGGGGGTGGGGGTGGTTGGGGATGAAACTGTTCCACCTCAGATCATTAGGCATTAGAGTCTCTCTCATTAGGAGCACCACACCTAGATCCCTTACATGTGCAGTTCACAATAGGATTCTTCACATTCACGATCCTGTGAGAATCTAATGCTGCCACTGATCTGACAGGAGGCAGAGTTCAGGTGGTAATGCTCACCCAACATGCTGTTCACCTTCTGCTGTGTGGCTTGCTTCCTAACAGGGAGCAGAGGAGAACCCCTGCAATAGAACACCAGAACTTATTCCTACTAACTGAAACTTTGTATCCATTAACCAATGTCTCCCCTTTCCCAGCCCAATACACCCCTTACTCTGCCCCCAACCGGCTCTGGTAACGATCATTCTACTCTCTACTTTGAGTTCAACTTTTTCAGATTCCAGAGTTAAGTGACATCACACAGTATTTGAAGGTGACCTTTCCTTACACAGCACAGAGGTTCATATACTGCATTAAAACTGTATTTACTGGTCTTCATTTCCCACTGGATTGTGAGCTCTAAGCAAAGACCATATCACCCACAGTCACTGGTATAATTTCAAGTATAAACACTTAATACTACTGAACTACATTTACTAACGTTTTGTTAATGGTTTTCAATATATTATGAATAAAGGACCCTATTCATATAACTGTTAAAATCACCTTAAAAAAATACAGCTTTCATTTATTCTGGACTCACTGCATCCCAATCTCTGAGCATATTCATTTTAAGCCTAAATTTGATACAGTCTAAATTTGGGAACCACCATAAAGATCTCTTAAAAATAGAAATTCTGCAAAAATAAGACTTTAGGCTAAGTAATTTAATTTTAAAACTAGTTAAGCCGGGCGAGGTGGCTCATGCCTATAATCCTAGCACTTTGGGAAACCGAGGTGGGTGGATCACCTGAGAACAGGAGTTCAAGACCAGCGTGGCCAATATGGTGAAACCCCATCATAAAAAAAAAAAACAAAAAAAACCTAAATACCCTACATACCTTCTTGTAAGAGAATCTGATAGTAAAACTTAAATTTTCCCTAAGACTACTGTAAAAAACTTCTTGAATGTACAGGTACAGGGAAAAAAAAAGATTAAAAAAAGACTACCGTAAAATTTACAGTCAAGGCTGGGTGCGGTGGCTCAAGCCTGTAATCCCAGCACTTTGGGAAGCCAAGGCAGGTGGATCACGAGGTCAAGAAATCGAGACCATCCTGGTCAACATGGTGAAACCCCGTCTCTACTAAAAATGCAAAAAAAATTAGCTGGGCACGGTGGCGTGTGCCTGTAATCCCAGCTACTCAGGAGGCTGAGGCAGGAGAATTGCCTGAACCCAGGAGGCGGAGGTTGCGGTGAGCCGAGGTCGCAGTGAGCCGAGGTCGCGCCATTGCACTCCAGCCTGGGTAACAAGAGTGAGACGCTGTCTCAAAAAAAAAAAAAAAAAAAAAAAATTTACAGTCAAATAGTTTTCCTATTAAAAAAGTATTGAGTGAACAATTTATGCATACTAAAGAGGGTGTTAAAATCCTACAGACTAGGCTGGGCATGGTGGCTCACACCTGTAATCCCAGCACTTGGGGAGGCTGAGGCGGGCAGACTGCTTGAGGTCAGGAGTACGAGACCAGCTTAGCCAACATGGCAAAACCCCATCTCTACAAAAAGTACAAAAATTAGCTGGGTGTGGCGATGTAATCCTGTAATCTCAGCTACCCAAGAGGCTCAGGCATGAGAATCACTTGAACTCAGGAGACAGAGGTTGCAGTGAGCCAAGATCGCACTACTACACTCTACCCTAGGCAACAAAGTGAGACTCTGTCTCAGAAAAAAAAAAAATCCTAAAATCTAGATATTTCCCTTACTTAAAGTATACCACAGGTTTAGATAGGTCAGCACTTTGGGAGGCAAAGGTAGGAGGATCACTTGAGCCCAGGAGTTTGAGACGAGCATGGAAAACATAGCGAGACCCTGCCTCTATTTTTAAAAATTAAATAAATAAATAAATCATTAGAAAACAAAAACATGGGCCAGGTGCAGTGGCTCACGCCTATAATCCCAGAACTTTGGGAGGCCAAGTCGGGCAGATCACGAGGTCAGGGGTTCAAGACCAGCCTGACCAACATGGTGAAACCCTGTTTCTACTAAAAATACAAAAATTAGCCAGGCGTGGTGGTGTATGCCTGTAATTCCAGCTACTCAGGAGACTAAGGGAAAACAATTGCTTGAACCTGGGAGGCAGAGGTTGCAGTGAGCTGAGATCGCGCCATTGCACTCCAGCCTGGGTGATAGACTTTGTCTCAATAAAAAACAAAACAAAACATTAGACAAGAGACTTAAACAAAAATTTTTAAAATATTTTTTAAAAAGAGGGGGGAAAAAAAGCATATACTAAACACAAACCTTTGGATGCTATGGCGATATATTGCTAGAAGAGTTTCTAAACATTTACTCTTAATTTCTATACTTACCTTATCGCAAACTGGCAACAATTTACCAATCAGCAGTGGTCCATGGACCACACTTTGAAAAGCAGTGCCTTAAATATAACTTACTACATGTTTATACACATAAAAATAGTTATATTAAGAATTCATACTAAGAATTTTTAATATTACCTTTTCCTATAAGGACTCCAATTTTTGAGTCTAATTTTTCCCCTGGATCACAACTTCTTGTCACTAATTTGAGAACTGGAAGAAAAGGTCTGACATCACAGAGTCTTCGTGTTTCATCTTCAAGCTCCTCATATACAGCAGTCTGATTCACACATGCAAACATATAGGAGTCAATTTCCATAAGGAGGTTGAACATTGGGTAATTGTGAACTTGCTTCCATAACATCTATGAGAAAAAAATAGTAAGACATTTTCTAAAATGAAAACACTTGTTCAAGTGTACAAAGATATAAAGATGTTCACTGCAGCACTGTTTGTAAAAATTAAAAACCATGGACAAATCAAATGTTCAGTAATAAAGGACTGGTTAAATGAATTACAGAATATTATAGAACTGTGAAAATAAGTAATAGAAATACACTCAGAAGATTATAAAAAATAGAAATTAATCCTGAAATGGAAAACCATACAAAATATTTTTTCTTAAAATAGCAAATAATAAGAGTATATATGGTATTATCCCATGTTTATAGGGTAATATAATGGCATAGTGCACAAAAACTGTATTAAAAATAAAATTACTAAAAAATTATCCATGACAAGACTCAAAGATAACTTTCATATTTAACATTTCTGTAAGCAGAAATCACTTCTGATCAAAAAAAATTTAAATTTAAAATATGTATCCAGATCTCCATACAATATTTAAATTATTTTTGTCCTGCATTCTTTTATCAGGGTTATCATTACTAACACTGTCCTGTCAGAATGATCATAATCAATCTCTCAACATCTCTTACCATGTCTCCTGGATAAGATAATGTAAAAGACATTCACCACACAAACACAAAGAGGGATTAACAACCAGTACAAAAGCTAAGAGCTGAAAACAACAGACATGTAGTAAAAATTGTGGCCAACCCTCAGCTCAGATTCAGTTACATAAAACATACAGGAGAAAGTACAAGCAACAATAATAATAATACAAACAGGCAAACTGTTCATTCTGAAGGCTCAAAATACTAAAAGAAAATTAAGAAAAAAAGGTAAACTGAACTTTAAACCAAAATTTAAAACTTCTGTACAGCAAAAGACATTATGAAGAGAATGAAAAGGCAACCCACAAAATGGGAGGTAATATTTGCAAATCATAAATATGACAAGATATTAATATTCAGAACATATAAAGAACTCCAACAACTCAATAACAAAAAACAAAGTTTAAAAATCAGTACAGGTCTAGAAACAGGAATTCTCCAAAAAAAGATATAAATGACCTAAGCACATAAAAAGATGCTCAACATCATTAGTCATGAGGGAAATACACATAAAAACCATAATGAGAGAGGCTGGACACAGTGGCTCACGCCTGTAATCCCAGCACTTTGGGAGGCCGAGGCAGGTGGATCATCTGAGGTCTGGAGTTCAAGACCAGCCTGACCCAACATTGAGAAACCCTGTCTCTACTAAAAATACAATATTAGCCGGGCGTGGTGGTGCATGCCTGTAATCCCAGCTATCTGGGAGGCTGAAGCAGGAGAATTGCTTGAACCCAGGAGGCAGAGGTGAGCCAAGATCGTGCCATTGCACTCCAGCCTGGGCAACACAAGAAAAATTCTGCCTCAGAAAAAAAAAAACAACGGCCGGGCGCGGTGGCTCACGCCTGTAATCCCAGCACTTTGGGAGGCCGAGGCGGGTGGATCACGAGGTCAAGAGATCGAGACCATCCTGGTCAACATGGTGAAACCCCGTCTCTACTAAAAATACAAAAAATTAGCTGGGCATGGTAGTACGTGCCTGTAATCCCAGCTACTCAGGAGGCTGAGGCAGGAGAATTGCCTGAACCGAGGAGGCAGAGGTTGTGGTGAGCCAAGGTTGCGCCATTGCACTCCAGCCTGGGTAACAAGAGCGAAACTCCGTCTCAAACAAACAAACAAAACAACAACAACAACAAACCACAATGAGATACTACTTCACAACCATTAGGATGGATATTAAATACATATGTGTGTGCACGCGTGCACACACACACACAATATGGCATGTGCCTTGTCATCTCAGCTACTTGGGAGGCTGAGGTGGGAGGATCATTTGAATCCAGCCAGGAGTCTGAGCCAAGTATGGGCAACATAACAAGATCCCATCTCTTAGACAAAAAAAAAAAAAAAAAAAAAAAGGGAAAGAAAAGAGGAAGGGAGGGAGGGAGGGAGGGAATCTTCTCGACAGTTTTAATAACCCAAACAAACATTTCAAACTAGCTAACATGAGCTATTTTTTCTTAATTACTATCACTTCATTAGTATCATTATCACATATAATTTATACTAACATTTTCTACTATAGAATCACATTTCCCCCTAAGTGACATAGTAAGCTAAACACATAGAAATAATACCTATTAACATACCTGCTTAATATAAGAAATGGTAGCTTCCCGAGGTACCTCCAACTGGATATAAATCCCAGTGGGCAAAAGGAAATCCACAGGTATGGTGCCATCAGATGCTATCTGTGAATCCACTGCCCAGATGTCAAGGATGTCTGCCATAGCAGGAGGCATTATGAAACTGAAGCACATTCATAACCACGGGGCACTAGAAATCAATAAGTAAAACACAGCAAAACAACCATTAGCCGAATTTTATACCAAGATATGATAAAGACCACTAATCTACAGTTAGTCCTTAGATTTTAATATAGCCAATAATGTAACAGGAGGCAAATTAAATAATGTGATATTTAAAAAACCAAGAGTAAGTCACCAGGAATAAATTATTTAAATACACTTTTATCACTTCACAAATTATATATATGTACACCACCCAATCCATACCAGCAACTAAAGGAAACAAAATTCTTCTAATTTATATATATACATAATAAACACACATACCCCACACTGATTCAAATTCATGATAAGTATATGACATCTAAATGAACTGTAGGCTTAAGAATTACAGGGTCCCAAGAAATTTAGCTGACCACCACTCAACAGGTGATTTTCTCCAAACTTTATTTAGAAAGTATTAGCTTCTTAGGCCGAGTTTTCCTCTGCAAATTCCAATGAAAATGACAATCAAGAGGGCCCTCTCTCAACAAAAACAATTTTCTATCAACCTCACAGCCCCTCCCCTAAGCATTAAAAACACCAAACCCCTCAACACAGATAGCAAGGCCCCTTGTGCTATTTCTCTGGACTATTCTTCCTGCTCTCCCATCACTCCACAGCCCAGGACTGGTATCAAAGTGCCTTCTGCCTTCCTACTGCTAGACCTTTGTTTACATGAGGAATAAACTCCTTATATCAAAACCCTGTCTCAACAAATGCACCCTTTAATAGTGCCATTTAAGTCTTACCTATTCCTTAAGGGCTTCCTTCAAGAAGATACAACAATAATAGCTGGAAGAACATGAACACTGAAGTTAAATAAACTAACGTTCATTTAACAATTATGCAATAAATGAAAGTGTCATATCAAAAGAAACAGGAGGCCAGGCACAATGGCCCATGGCTGTAATACTATCACTTTGGGAGGCTGAAGTGGGTGAATTGCTTGAGTCCAGGAATTTGAGACCAGCCTGGGCAACAAACAAGACTTCTTCTCTATAAAAAACACAAAAAAATTGGCCAGGTGTGGTGGCACAGGAGACTGAGGCAGCAGAATCACTTGAGCCCAAGAATCCAAGGCTGCAGTGAACTAAAATAGTACTACTGCACTCCAGCCTGGACAACAAGTGAGACCCGATCTTAAAATATAAAACAATAAAAATATAAAAATAAAAAATAATTTTTAGAACTTCTTTAGCTAATAAATGCAAAATGAATAACAAATTAGAAAATCACAATTTTAAAACTGCTAATGAACTAATAGATCTACGCAATGATCACTAATGGATGCTAAAGACATAAATAATAAAGAGGTGAAAGGAGAAGGAACTTTACAGTGTGTCTGTCTTATTGACACTACATGAATCCTGATCTATCTTAGCATCGCTAAAAGTGGAACTATCAGACATTACGTGTCTCCTCATGAAATGCAATAGTCACTACTTACTACTGACACAAAACAAACTTAAATCTAATCAAGCCTTTAGATCTGATCTATGTGCCACTTTACAGGAAACAGAGAAAGACATTAAATACTTTAAGGAAGCAGACAGCCAAGTAGAGAATGTGGCATCTTCAATAAAACAAATGATATGGTTTCTCCAGATTATCAGTAACAAGAAAAGGAGGAAGAAGATGGTAGAAAGACTGTTAAAGAATTTAAAAAACACTTAGGAGACACAGCCAAATCCAATGTTAGTTGGAACAAATCAACTATAAAAAAACCATGTTTGGGCCCCGGCATGGTGGCTCATAGCTGTAATCCCAGCACTTTGGGAGGCTGAGGTAGGTGAATCACCTAAGGTCAGGAGTTTGAGACCAGCCTGACTGACATGGTGAAACCCTGTCTCTACTAAAAATACAAAAATTTAGCCAGGCATGGTGGCGCATGCCTGTAATCCCATCTACTCAGGAGGCTGAGTCAGGAGAATCGCTTGAACCCAGGAAGTGGAGATTGCAGCAGTGGGGATTGCGCCATTGTACTCCAGCCTGGGTGACAAGAGCAAAAATCTGTCTCAAAACAACCACAACAACAACAACAAAAAACTATCTTTGAAATAATCTGGGAAATTTAAATATGAATTCATTGTAAATTCCTTGAAGAGATACAGAATGTCTGGTGGTCTCACTTTTAGCCGTACTACAACTGATCAGAGGATTCAGGCATTATCAACATGCTTTTTAAATTACTGTTTTTCATCACAGTATATGGAAAGGTCTCTATACTAAGGAACTCTTAAACCAATAAACTTCCATAAACACGAACAAAACTACAGTCACTACAGGCGTTATTAAGGCACTAGTCCTAAAATTAAGCAAATCACTTCAGAGCAGGCTTTGAAGATTTGGTGAGCTTCTCAATCTTGCAAGTAACAGGCATTCAATAAGTATTTGCTGAATGAAAACATGCTGTATTAACTTATAAAGAAAGACTATACTCTGTGGGGCCAAGTGTGGTGACTCAGTCTATAATCTCAGCATTTCCGGAGGCCCACGCAAGTGAAACTGCTTGAGCCCAGGAGTCCAAGGCCAGCCTGGGCAACACAGTAAAACCTTGTCTCTACTAAAAATACAAAAAAAAAAAAAAAAAAAAAAAAAAAAATAGCCAGATGTGGTGGCGGGCACCTGCAATCCCAGCTACCAGGGAGGCTGAGGCAGGAGAATTGCTTGAACCCAGAAGGTGAAGGTTGCAATTAGCCAAGATCGCACCACTGCACTCCAGCCTGGCACCTGGCGCCTGGCAACAGAGCAAGACTCTGTCTCAAAAAAAATAATTAAAAAAATAAAAAATTAGCCAAGAGTAGTGGCATGCACCTGTGGTCCCAGCTACTAGGGAGGCTAAGGCAGGAGGATCACTTGAGCCCAGGAGGTTGAGGCTGCTATATGAGCTATGATCAAGCCACTGCACTCCAGCCTGGGCAACAGAGTGAGACAGAAGGAAGAGTGAGATGGGGCGGGGTCCGGGGGATGGAGAAAGAAAGAAAGTTGAAATGATTTAACTCAGATATTCAAATCTATTCACATGTGGTTTTACAAAATCTCAACCTATACTTCAGGTAGCCCATGTATCTTCTCTTAAAAAAAAATAAAGTAAAAAATATTAACAAACATACAAAATTATATTGCATGGATCACACTTAGCCTAATGCTACCATGTCTCCAATATTTAAACTCCTGTCATGTGAACAGGAACACAAAATAGGTGTCACCTATAACTTAAATATGGCACCCTCACTGTGTTGTAATCCCAGGAACATTACAGGTGTTTCTGACAATGACACACATTTTTAACTAATATTTGACTATAAAACTGCTAAGTTTTCAAGAGAGGATATGGCACCCTCTCTCAAATTTAGATAGGCTGAGGAACTCCCATGATGTCAAAGGGATAACCATAAAATTACAATTTTTTTTTTTTTTAGATGGAGTCTCACTCTGTCATCCAGGCTGGAGTGCAGTGGCACAATCTCAGCTCACTGTAATCTCAGCCTCCCCGGTTCAAGCAATTCTTCCGCCTTAGCCTCCTGAGTAGCTGTACAGATGCCTACCACCATGCCTGGCTATTTTTTCTATTTTTAGTAGAGACAGGTTTCACCATCTTGGCCAGGCTGGTCTTGAACTCCTGACTTCGTGATCCACCTGCCTCAGCCTCCCAAAGTGCTGGGATTACAGGTATGAGCCACTGCACTCAGTCTAAAAATTATTTTTAATATAAAGAAAATACAAAAACTCATTTCAGAATAATTCACTAAGCTATACATTTATGTTTTATGCACTTTTCTATATCTGTGCTATATTTCACAATTAAAATGCCTTAAAATTTTTTTAATGGCAAAAAGCACTGCAAAGGCTAAGTGTCTTCCTTCTGCCACCTTTAGGTGCATCATAAAGAGAAGTTTTATCCTTTAGTTGTACAGTTGCCCATGCTTAAAAATCCTTCCTCGCTTACACAGAAACATCACACCAATCTCCAAAATCAATTCCCCTACCTACAATTTCAAGGACAAAACTCTCACATTTAAAGTATCAATTGACTCAGAAATATTCTAATTATTCAGCAAGACATTGAAGATGACTGTAAAGCAGCATTACTGTGTTTAAAGACCTAGAAATGTTTTTCCCAACCAGGAGTAAATCATCAAAGGGAATACTGCAAAGTTACACCTATCTACCTTGATATTGTCATTAGCAATTTACTAATAACTGAGTTAAAGTGGCTGTCAGACTTTGTAAACAATCTAGGGAGATATACAGTATTAAGCTAAATATTCTTCAGAAGAATGGTTTTCCATTCTGGCATACTCAGTATTCCCTTTTCTTTCTTTTTTTTTTTTGTGAGATGGAGTTTCACTCTTGACGCCCAGGCTGGAGTGCAATGGTGCGATCTCGGCTCACTGCAACCTCTGCCTCCTGGGTTCAGTAATTCTCCTACCTCAGTCTCTTGAGCAGATGTGACTACAGGCACCTGCCACCACGCTGGGCTAATTTTTTGTATTTTTAGTAGAGTTGGAGTTTCACCATGTTGGCCAGGCTGGTCTCAAACTCCTGACCTCAGGTGATCCCATCCACCTCAGCCTCCCAAAGGTGCTGGGATTACAGATGTGAGCCACCGTGCCCAACCCAGTATTCCCTTTTTAAATAAATATTTTATAAATACATTAGTAATCTGAAATGAAATTATTAATGCAATATATATATGCTTAATTTAAAATTAAATCCATATAACATTCTAACTGTAATATTAAGAAGAAATAAAGATAATAATATAAATCTCAGTATATGAATGCTTAGATATGACCACACTACTACTTGATGAAGTAGTCAGATGCTTGCATATACACAGACTCACCATGGAAATGACAAATCTGCAAATGTAGACTGATCCAGATGTGTTACACTGATGATTAAATACTACAAATGCCACTGCCACTGGTGCCATAATTTTTCCAAAATAAAAAAATCAATATATTAAAATAATGTAAAACA